CGGATAGGTCACCGAGATGGAGCTCGTGGAGACGAGGGAACACGTATAGGTAGGTGTTTCCGCTCTCCGTATTCGGGTGCGAGAAGAGATGCACATTAAAGAACGCGAAGAGCTCTGGATCCCAACCGATGAGCCGCAAGGTCTCGATAGACTGCATGCTCCCCAAGAATTGGAGAAACGGAAGGCGTGGAATAGTTAAGAGCAGAACAGTAGAAGCCCAGAAGGACAGAGCGTGGGCCTGTCTCAAAGGCAGTAGATCTGGAAGGACTTTCGCGTAATGTTTGAATAGATTGGCGTGCAAAACCGCTGTGATAGCTCGTCCACGCTCTCTGCGTGGATTCGCCTGCTCTCCGGCCCACAGCTTGATCCTCAACTCGTCTCCAAGGGCCCAGAATGCAACGCAGAATGGGTTCTCCACCCGCTGAACTTTCGTGGGAGCGTTGGGAGCCAAGAATCTCGTTACACTTTGCAGGACTTGGGCAAAGAGGTTGCGGTAAGCCTCGTCCGTGGTGGTCGTATATCTGAAGTAGACGTTCGCTTCTGGAGCCATCTGAACGTTATCCAAGACCCAGATAAGGACTTCAAGATCTGTAAGAATATTCAATGTTTGAAGGTATGGGAGAAGAACAGGGCCGCGAGCTCGACCGAGAGGCGTGGGCGTGTTGCTGCGTAGAGTGCGATGCCGTCTGATACTCAAACTCGACAAGTACGGCATAGCACTCAATACCGTTTTCAAACCATCGGGAGTAACGACACCTATAACATCCAACGGCCTGAGAGCACCTGAAGTTCTCGCTAGTTCGAAAACGGTTATGCTTGCCGAGATTAGGCGAGGATGGAGGTGATCGAACAGGTAAGAGGGAGATTTGATGACGAGCTTGTTCAATTGCGGCAGTCCAGTAGGACAAAATATCGGTAGTGGATCTGTACTGGAGCCGCCTTCGCAATTGAAGTCGATAGAGAGAGTTCGTAGTACAGGGGCAGGAACGGGGGAAGGAAACGAGCTTTCGAGCGATTTGATGAGTCCTCCGGACAATGATAGATGCAAATGGCGGATTTGCGGTAGGCGTGTGAGGAGAAGATCAATGGATGCGTTGAACTCCTGCTCACTGCCATACGGGTGAACCAAGTCTATGTCGATATCAAGATGACAATTTTCGGCTCGAGCCAGAAGTCTTCTTAGTACTCGCGGGTGAGTCTTAGAGTGTAAGACTATACAAGACCATAGTCTTGGAGTTCCTAGGGCGACGTCGCGCCAGTGACGACAGACTTGATCCAAAGCGGCTAAGCTTTCGGAGCCACCGGCAGTCATAGACTGCCACATGAGCTCGCCAAGCAACTCGCTGGGTAGCCGACATGTAGGTGTACAAGCATTGCGTTTCGTCATGAGTCGGTATCGAACCGACTGCAATGGAAGCGCAGACACAAAGATGTGGCCGTAGTTTTGAATGACGGCATCGATCTGGGAGATAAGACCTGCGCGAGCATCTGCGGACATCGTGGAAGGGTCGGACGTTAACAACTGTTCCATTTCTGCGGAAGGATTGAGCGAGCTGGCGATGAGATTCGTCAGCCCAGTTACAACGTAGTATGATAATATCGCATTCGTGGTCACTTACCTCTGCAGCGTCCTGACTATGGGATTGGGATGTTTTGCGCTATCCATTCCAAGATGGGTCTGACTGTCATCGTGAGATGATACATCATTAGAACAAATGAATAAAATACCAGTAACCGAGTAACCACAACGTTTCAAAAGTCCGGTGTTGGGGGGAGGAGGTTTATTATGGGCAGTTTGTTGAACTAGTACAGAGGTTGGCAACGAGAACGACTTGACGCTTGGGAAAGTACTGTTTGGTGTTGCTTGTCGTTGCTTGGCGCCATCACTGCCGATCACAAGCCGCATTCCTTTCCGTGGACTGTCACTCTTACTACGACTCTCCCATTTTGTTTGCCTTCCCTCAGTGCATCACGTTGACAACTAGCAAGTCGGACATTCTGTTTTTGGCTCGATAGGGATGTCGAAATGCGGTGCGTGTGTACCGAGTACCATGTTCGTTCGGCGACACTGATATCGAGTAAGGTCGCCTCATTCCGGGTTCTAAGAATACGAAGGTTCACGGCCAGACCAGATTGTTGGAGGTCACAAGGCTGCGCTGATTATGTAGCATAGTAGCTGAACGGGAAGGTACGTAGACTCGTTTTTCCATGACCTTCAAAAACGAATGAGTCAATCTCTAGCGCAGTCTACGACGATGTCCTGGAAGCGTCCTTTTGTCCTTTTCATCATGCACCATGCGTCGGGCCCCCAACGACAGCTAGTTTCGTTCCTGTCGTGCAGTGATCCGTGAGTTTGAGGGTATATGTGAGTTTCAGAAACCTCAAAACATACCCTGGATGCAATCTCACATCGAGTTCGACATTTGCTACCAGATACCCCAAATGTCTTCCAAAACACTCGGCCCCCGCTTTCAGCTACTCTGAACGACGTATCTCACGCTGCTCATGGAGAGCTCTGAGCTATATTTGCTCCTTGCGAGGGCCCAAATTCTCACGACACGTCTAATGGAGGAGCGTGAATGGGAGCCGGGTGCGTTCTATTACACTCCGAGCGCGTCGTTCACTTATCTATCCCCACAAACGTTCCTCTCTCCATAGGCACCACGTCTTCGTACGCGAGCACGTTCATTTCCTTCGACCTATTCTGTTCGTCCGGTATTTTATGCGAAACATTTGAGCTGCAAGGCTCCAAACACCTGGAGTCCAGTGTCGACAATGGAAAACATATATCTGCGCATATATATGAGGTTGCCTGTGATTCCAATCGTTGCTTCTGGCTCCACCAAGCTCCAAGCTGATCAAACTCGTCTCTGCTACGCCACCAGCAGCTTGACGTAACGCCATGGCTGTTCAAACCATCCTCATGCATGCAACTCTCATCCTACTTTGCTTCGCAACTCAGGCGTTGGCGCAATTTGTTCCACACTTCGACAGTCAACTCGAACTCGCGCTCCGTCACACGCTGGTTGAGCCGCTTGGCGGATTCAACCCGGTAGAGCACTCTGGTCCAGCCTCGCCTCTCTTCACTGCGCCCTCTCAAGCTGGTATCCCGTACGAGATTCCAGAGGGATGTACTGTCGATCAGGCCGCGTATATGGTTCGTCATGGAGAGTACGTCCTATGTTCATTGCTACAGCGCATTACGAACTGACCAGACTTCGCTTGTTTGCAGTCGGTATCCGGAGCCTGGTTCGTTGACTGGCTGGCAGCAGCTCTTCGCAAAATTTCAGAACTCGTCCTACTTGGCACGCGGTCCCCTCGCGTTCATACCGTCTTGGGTCCCTCCGTTGGACGATATTAAGCACGAGACGCTTTTCTTGGACACCACTGGCGCAGGAGACGCGTTCGCTTTGGGCGTCAGGTTGAGGAAGCGATATAAGATGACGCCTGGTGGAGCTAACTTCACGGTCTGGTAAGCATGGCTGTACAACATGGGATAGCACTTCTGACGTTCTCATCTAGGTCTGCCAACCAACAGCGCGTCGTTGACACCGCCACGTATTTCATGCGCGGTTACTTGTCTCAGGGCAACTACCTCAACGACACCAATCTCAACCGAGGCACTGTCATCACGCTTGTGGACGCCTCTTCGGACGTGCCGTGGGCAGACTCGCTCACTCCTTCCAACTCTTGCCCCAACTACCAAGGCCCTTCGGGCGCGGGTGCCAACAATTCCAATCTCTTCAGGACGACCTTCCAAAATACCACTGCCAACAGGTTAAACTTCTTCTTGGACGGGCTCACACTGAACGCCACGGACGTTGGAGTCATGCAGGATCTCTGCGGTTGGAGTTCGGAGATTGACGGTGATCTGGACTTCTGTAGAGCATTTGAAGGTGAGATCGTCTAAGCATTATCCTCGCGCGAGAAGCTTGGCTTAATTCTGGGCATACAGCTGATGAATGGCGTGACTATGAGTACGCGCACGACCTCAACTATTATTATGGCTCTGGCCCAGGCAATCCTGTCGCGGCCACGGTAGGTTGGCCCTGGTTGAAGGCTGTCACCGACCTGTTTCAGGCTGGGCCCGGCAAGACGGTCGCAAACGGCACCTTGACTCCGCCGCCTCTTATCATGACATTCACGGTATGATATCATTTTGAATGAGAAGAATTCTGCGCTAAATACTGTGAGTTCTCATAGCACGACAACAACCTACCTCCCGTCATGGCCGCTCTTGGTGCTTGGAACTCCACAGTCACACTCCCCGGTCAGCCCGAAACCATCTATCCTCTCCCTATCATGCACCGCGTCGAGAATCCGGCTCGGCAGTTCCATGCCAGCTACATCGTCAGTTTTACCGGAAACCTTGCGCTCGAGCGCATGACGTGCGTCGTCAACGGCCCCACGCTCCAGGAGCAGAAGCTCGTCGGCAACTTCCACCAGGCCAACGTCCTAGGAGGCAACTTCAACCTCAATCTCACTGGAAGCATGAGCCAGCCGATGAATCAAACGTTTGTTCGTCTCCGCACGAACGACGCTCCCATCCCTTTGCCCAACTGTACGTCAGGCCCTGGACAGACGTGTCCCCTCGAGCAATTCATCCAGTCTGTCAATGGCCCGAGGGCGGCGGCGGCGGGTAATTTTCAGGAGAGGTGTGGTTTGCAGAACGTCACAGGCGTGATAAGTAACTTGACGTTTTTGACGACTGCTGGAGATGGGGTGTCGATGTTAATTCCTGTGGCGGGAACCCCTGCAGGCCTTGCAGATGTGCCGTAGGACGAAGAGTAGAGCGAGGTGCGAAACGGACGCTGTGCTGTGTATGGACACGCCCTACAGTAGTACAAGAACTAGGAATCATCATTCGGACATCGGTGCTGATGTTGTCAAAACAGACCTCTGGGGGAGTGTGATTTGAGTATGCGCCGTCCAGCTTCGGTCGATTCTGAGTTCTAATGCCACTGATGATATATGCCATTGATGTCAGACGCCGAAGCAATGGCAATATGGTGTAGAGGTTAGCACTTGAGATTCTGATCTTACACGGAGTTCTCAAAACCCAGGTTCGAGTCCTGGTATCGCCTGCGAGATTATTTTTTGTTGTCATGGACTCCCCTCACAGACTCTTGGCACTGTGTTCGAACCTTGCCCATGCAGCGGTAACATTCGAAAGCGACATGAGAGTAGTGCGAGAGAACACACAAGTCTGTCCTCGGTAGAGCAACATCGGATGGCAAGGCATGGCGTATTGACGATGAGAATGAATATATTATAAGTGACAGCAAAGCAAATCGAAACGCGAACATACATACATAGCAGGTGGATGGATATGAAAAGCAATCCTACAATAGCAACAAAACCGATTCTTGTATGACATAATATTCCGCTTCAAGTCATGAGTGTATAGGTATGTGGTTTATGATCGGTTCTCTACTCCTCGTCTTCATAGCGTAGGATCTGCGCATCCTCGTCTAGCGGTACGTTTCGATACCCTCGTCGAGAGCGGAAACCTGTCGCGAGGGTGTCGAAGCGCGAAGATACCCATTCCCAAGCAATTCCTGCGAGCCCGAGAAGGAACCATGGGACGGAGGCGAGAGTGTCCAGAGCGCTGGAGTCACCAGTGAATCGATTGTCACCTCCAGGCAGACGGATTGTCCTATATCATAGCAGCAACATCAGTACTTGTTCTGTGAGAAGGAAATTCATAACATACCCTCTCGCCATTCCACTTCTTCGATAATACCAGTACCCAACAAGCGCAGCGAACCCGAATGGAATTACGAGTACGAATAGCCAGAAGAAGAAACTGTGGCCTTGAATACCGGGGCAGTCGTGCTCAGTACCATGGTCTAGCCGTATTCCGCCTTCGCAAGTAGAGTATGGAATCTTGCGATATGGTGTGCGGTCGTACCAGTGGATGTCGTCTCCACGGCAGCTGTTGTCGTCCGGGAGGGGTGTCGTACCATTGGCGAGAACGCAAGTGCCGTCGATGTCTCTCCGGTAGTTGAAGTCACTGGAGTGGCAGGCGGTTGGGTGAGCAGACGAAGCAGGAAGCGCAGGGAAAACACGTACCATTCAAAGTCAACTGCGCTACAAGGACAGTTCCTGACAATCTTGGCCTCCTGTTTGGTCTGAGTCCCAACCACGCAGTTTGCGTCCCGCTTACGTCGGTGGTACAGCGTCTGCAAACAACAACGATGAAGTCTCCAGTCAATGTCCTTGTTATCAACTACGACGTACCTGGCGACCGAAGAGACATCTTTCCGTCCGCTCCTCGCTGGGACTCCATAGCTCGAAGTCGTCTTGAGCAGAGTCTTGAATATCCAGTACACCTGAAAGGCAGTTAGCTACTTATTCTCTCATTATGACCACCCAAACACTCACAAGGTCTCCGCGTCAGCGCGCTGAAATCCAGATGTACAGCAACAGCAGCATCGGTTCGGCCGGGATGATAGCCCAATAGGATGAATTTCCTACTCGTGTCTTCCGGCACAGTGACGATAGCTTTGACGCGCATCTTTTCGTCCGACGTCGTAAAGCGGTATACACGCCAGTTGATACCTTCATCAATACTGAACATGACATGATCGGTCGCGTCTTCGTCGTTGGCCATGACAAGGATAGAGCCTGAGTCGCCAAACTCCCAGAGGTGAGCATCCTTGTGGACTTCTTCCCATGTGAACCCGGCGTCGCGACTCAGGAAGGTGTCACTGTCGGTGTATGGGAGCAAGCTCTCGCCTACGTTCCCTACAGCCATTAGGAGACCCGGTACCGAAGGTGTGCTGAAAGTTGCTCGAGCATCCCAACGTTCAGTATAGCCGTGGATGTGGAGAGCGCAGTTCTGGACGAAAGACCGTCATAAGCAATCTGCATGTGATAAGTCTTCATGAACAAACTCACCACATTGTCGCACTCGAATCCGTTTCCTTGAGAATCGACCTTGGGCACTGGCAGTGGCTTCCATGTCCCGCCTATATAAAGCACAGCCCCTTGAGTCCTTCATTCACCAAAAACGATTGAAAGCCCTTACCGTCATTGTGTGTAATCCTAGACTGCAGCTCTTTCCTTCCAGATACCGACGCCTCGTGGGGGTTGGAGACGACGTTGATGAGGGCGATACCATCCAATCCGATCATCTTCTCAAAGTCAACGAAACCAGCGTCGTTGCGGTTGACATAATCGACAGAGACACCATAGTATGTGCCGTTCGAGTTGGACTTCAGTATGTTGCCCCATGTCGGACTCGGCGCTTCTGATGTAGTGACGTGTAGGAAGACGGATTGCGTGCTGGATTCGAGGATAGTGTAGGCCTAGATGTTGAGTTGTAAGACTGTGGAAGACGAGGCAGGGAGAGGAAACGAGGTCACGTACGTGCTGCTCAAGACGCATAGAGGGAGGGAATAGGCCTGTGGCGAACTTCCGGCCGTCCAAAGATACCTGCAGATCTAGAGACTGGTGGACGGCCTGATACTACAGTACAACAAAAGAACGTCATTGACACCGTGCACGACGTACAGAAACAAGTGTATACGCACCTCCGCAACAATGAGATACTCGGAGAAAACAGCATAACCCACGACATGGTCAAACAGCTTGGTCTTCTTCTTGAAGAAATCCGTGCCGCTAACCAACTCCAACGGATTCTCCATCCCAAAGAACCGCTGGTTGCCTCTCTTATCCCGATACGACTCGCACAGGATCTGGTTCGGGTCCGCAAATAACTGCGAGTCCCGCGCCCAGGCGCAGTTCTTCACGTATCGCTCGATGAGGTTCCAATTCCGGCCGTTATCGAGGGAGTAGTACGCCTCTACGTGGCAATTCTCGCCGAATCCCTCGCAGTCCTTGGCTCCGCTCCAAATGAGGTAGTCGGACTTCTGAGGATGGAAGCGCAAGACCTGCAGTCCGAGCGGGTTTGGAGGCGTAGGACCAGGTAGATGATTCCACGATCGACCGGTGTCGGTGGTGTACCAGAAGAGGTTGGTCTCGGTAATCAGATACGCGCGGTCGTTTGAGTGAGGGTGGTGGTAGAACGCGATGAAACGTTCGTCTTGGCCAACAGGGACCCAATTGTAGCCCTCATTGCTCGATTGCCATACAGTACGATCACGTAGACGGACAAGGATTGTCTACAGTAGATTCAGACTGGTCAGAGAGGCGAACGGAGCGATCAAGGCAAAGGACCAACCCTAGACTGCTTGAAGTATGCATATTGGACTATTGGAGATTGGAATTCAAACTGAAGTCCGGGACGGCATTAGCATATCATTTGAGCATACTCGTTGTGGACGCACTGTCTGATGGACAACTTCTCCCTCAGCGGGCTGGGCTGCAGAACACGGCTTGTTCACTGGTTCATCCTTCTTGACGCCTCTCTCCCTATCGCAAGTATTGCCTGGTATCTTCTTCCATCCAGAGGAGCCCATGTAGTGGTCATCGGGCTGCGCACACACTCCAGCTGGGATCGGCTCAGGACCAGCGGGGACGCATTTGTCACCTTGACGGATGAAGTTGTAGTCGCTGAAGTCTGAGAGTCAGATGCCGCTAACGACGAAGGTGTCAACGAAGAAGACATACCACTCGTAGTCCTCATCAGTGCATGGACAACTGTCTTCATGCTCGATGGGATCAGTGAACTTCTCCCCGACGTAACAGTTCGCGCCTTCTTTCCGCCGTCTGTACCATTGCTGTTGCCAAATCAAACCAACGTCAGACTCGTGCAGATTCCAACACGAGATTGTAGACGCACCTTATGTCCCATCAAACATTCTTCATTCGTCGCCGTCCTCGCGTACCACTTCTCAAAGTCACTCTCGCCACACTTCCGGTTCCTCGTGTTTGCGAAATCCAGGAAGACGACCACATAGCGGCCGTCATTGCCCTCGGCATCGTGTTTGCTGACTTGACCAACCATCACGAACTTTTGCGAGGTTGAATCCGGGATCGTAGTGAGCACCTTGGCGCGCACTTTGATGTTGAGATTGTACGTCCGCCTGCATGGGTGGTCAGCGTTGACGGTCAGAAACACACGCCGCGGAACACGCACCATGTCTTGCCTAAATCCGTGGAGTACACCACCGTGTCCGTGCTGTCTTCGTCGTTCACCATCACCAGCACGCTCCCCGAGTCGCCGAATTCGTACTTGTGCGCATCTCTCCTCACCATCTGCCATGTCACGCCGTTATCGGTGCTCAGGAACGTATCACAGTCCTCGTAGGGGCGAAGGTGGTCACCGATGGAGCCAACTCCCATGACGAATCCGGGAGCAGGAGATGAGAAGACACGACCGAAGTTGTGTGGTAGCGTGACGGAATGGAGGTGAAGGTCGCAGGTGTCGACGTCCGAAGGGTTGCAGGCGATGCGGCGGTTGTCCGCGTCGACGGACGGTGGGCGGAGGCGAGACCATGTGCGGCCTGCGTGCTTGTCAGTAATCGGTCAGCGAGGAAACGGAGGCCACGCACCGTCGTCGTATGTGATCTTGGACTGCAACTGCTTCGCCGCCCTCCTGCTCTCCACTTCCTGCGCGTTCTTCACCACATTAGCCAGCCCCACGCCCTCGATCCCGTACACGTTCTCATAGTCCACGAAGCCCATCTCATTTCGGTTCGTGTCCCTCAGACTCTCCACGAAGTACGTCCCGTTCGAGTTGCTGACGAAGAGTGTTCCAACAGACCCGAGGTCCTGCAGAACCACGTCCACCGCGAGCGAGTGTGTAGTTGACTCCACGACCGTGTACGCGTTCTCCCGCAACTTGGCAGACGACGCGTGCGGGAACTGTGCCTTTGCCCAGGTCTTCGTGTCGACGGAGACGTACAGCAGCATCTCCCCGTTGTTCCCTGGTGCCAGGTCCCTCAACGCCACCACCGCGTACTTGCTCACGATCGCCAACGCCACCACTCCCCTCGCATTCTTTCCGATTCCCAGATCCTCCACCCTCTGCTCCTGATCGAAGAAGTCCGTGGACGAAAAGAGCCGGCTGGATGAGAGCGAGTGTACGCCGTCCGTGGGAGTAGCATCGAAGGCGACGCAGTAGATGAGGTCTTCGTGGGCGTCGTGTTTGAAGTCCTTGCTGCTGTGAGCAAATTGA